AGTGCATACTTATTGAATCGGCAATCTTGGAATCAAGTTATGCAGACCTTCCTCCCAATATGAAATTTGCTTTTTGTATTTGGGATTATTTCCGGAAGGCTACGAGGTTTCCGTGAGCCAATTGATCCATATGTGGATTGCCAAGGGAACAATTTAGCTGCGAGATGCAGAAAATTTGGAGGAAACTGCAGCATATGGTGTGGAACAATTTTTGAGCAGAAATGTGTTTCAGGTGGCAGTGATGACCACTGATGAGAGAATCAAAACTGTCAAATGCATGATTTATTGTGAGGGCATGCAATCAAAAAGGCAAAAGATGAAAATTTTTTGTCAGATCCATGCCATGAGATATGATGAAATATCAGCTAAATCCTTGTACCTTGCTCTTCATATTCTTCCTCGGGATCACAAATATTTTGAGTATTCTACACCTCATCTCTGATCTCCTGTTTTTTAATGTTCATAAATACTATAGAATTGTTAGCCTTACCTTCATAAGTTTTAGAGAGCTTAGGATATTAGACCTGGAGAATGTTAACATTAAATGCTTGCCACAAGAAATTGGTGAAGTCAGGCTTTTGAGGTACCTTTATCCAAGAGAAATAGTGACAGAAAGGCTGCCTCATTCTTTTGTTGCTTACAAAACCTAAAAACTCTTTGACATATACATTCAATTATTGGCAAGTGGAAGTTTTCAAATTTCATTTGGAGGCTTGAAAGTTTATGTCATGTATATGCATATGATATATGCAACGTGCCACTTAAGATTGAATGATTGAGGAATTTCAGGACTTTGTCATGCATACATTTTGATCATATCATCCATAGTAACATGATGACTTTGACGAGTCTTTGGAAAATAGGAATTTGGGTAGATGTCAGCTCCGAGATGGATAAACTAAAGACCTTATGTTACCTTGGAAACCTAAAGATCTTATATCTTTATGACAGTGGTGCTCAGCATGGAAACAAGTTTCTATTTTTAGTGGGCTTTCTATGCTCAAGTATGCAAACAGAGCTTAAACTGTATGGAGATATAAAAATACTGCCTCCTGACTCCCTCCCCCCCAAATCTCTCTCACTTGTCTTTGAGATCCACACATCTCAGGGATGATCCAATGCCAATCCTAGAGAAGTTGGGACTGCTGTCGTTCCATAAAATGAAATACGAAAATGGGAGGCAGCATCTAACAATTTCTGGGAATCACTTTCACCAGTTGAAGTTCCCTGAAATCAGAGGGCGTGGATTGCTCGATCCTTTATATGAATTAAAGGTGGGGAAATGTCCATTACCACAACTCCGTTGCCTAAGAATCAGGAGCTGCAACTCGTTAAAGATGTTGCCGGAAGAGCTGAAGCACACATCTACTCTTGAAAAGCTTGACCTCGTCCCAGAAAGTTTTGTCAGTAGGCTTCATGTGCAAGATGCTGATAAGGTATCGTGCGTCTCTAACCTTAGAATATTTGACTATCCAATCTTGTAGATGGGACTAGGTTTCAAGAGTAAAATGGCACATGAGCCAGACTTTAGCCAGCTTTACTCTCCCAAGAGATTGGTGGTGGTCAAGCAGAAGAATAGTGAAATTAGAATCTCAAATTTGTAGAACATATTCTTTATGGCACTTTAGATGAAGTGCCACGACAATACACATTTTGGTTGCATTCTCAAAAAAGTGCAATGAAAATGGCAATTTTTCTGAATTTAGTTGTGCCATAGAAAGTGCCATGAACTTTTTGATCGCACTTTTTTTTCCTAGTGCAATGAGTTCATGCAACACAGAATTACAATCGCTTTTTATCCTAGTGCGACAAAAGTTGGTTAATGGAATTTTTCTGGCTTTGTATGGCACTTTTTTGTGCCAAATATCTAAGCTAGTTTTCTTTTCATTAGCTTCATTTTGGGGGGTTCAATCCACAGAACATAGATTCCTTGAAGGCTTACTTCCGGATATGAAAAAGGGAGAATTGAAAATTTAATTAAAGGTTATGTATCAAGCATTAAGATCTGGTGGTAAGTGAATCTTTAAGCATTTAGACCAAATAGCGTAAATAAGTCTTTTAAGCGTTTGCTAGGGGTTAATTCTAATTCAGGGGGAAAAACAGCCAAACCGAAAAGCATGGATGAGGCAAATGGTATTGCCGATTTTAATGGTAATGGCAACCAAAATTGCCTTCCATGTTAATGATTCTGTAATTATTGAAAGCAGGTTGAGGAGGCCTTGATTTAGTGATTAGAATTATAATTTCAGAAATTAGAGGTTTTGGATTTAAATCTCCTTCTCTTCTTCTCGATTCTTGAGTCTCCCCCTTCTTTGCTAGGAAAATATATTTTTTTTAAAAAAAAAATGCTTTGTCAATGAAATTGGCTATATAATCCAAGACCAATCATCAGTGTAGGTACTCAAACAAATTTAATCATCTTAAAAACAAGGAATTTTCTAACAGTGTCTTATGGCAGCGCGCACTCCTTACTAATGGATATACGTATTACGTGGGTGTGGATAGAGTTTAGTATAAATTTGGCTTTAGATCTAGATAATAAAATATCAGATCCTACCAAGACCCATGAATTTCTTATAGGGTTTGGGTTTGACAAATTAAATCGAAACTCTATTCAAGTATATTAGATTTGGGTAAGACTCGACCATTGATGCGAGCATGAATAAAGAAACGATAATGCTCCTTTCGTTTTCGTTCCTACTAAAGCTAAACTACCGAGCTAATTCACATTGTTTCCAACGAAACCAATCAAATCTTCTCCTAGTTGGAGTCAATTTGACCCTAACAAATCATATCTTAATGAGCAAAACAAATCATCCTGTCCATTTGGTGAAACATCCGAGACTCTTGAAACTTTAACTCAGACTGAAGATTACGCTTCAACTCCCGAGCTTCCCAGATATGTAGGATTAGATCTTAATGTGTTCACGTCGAATTGCACAAAAATTCAGTTAAAAATCATGTCTTTAAATCCTTTTTCGCTCCGAGTCCCTGCAACCAATATTATCAAATATAAGTAGAATCCACCAATTAATGCAATATTTGGCTGAAATCAAGGGAAAAACAATCATAAATTAAACGATAAAAAATGCAACCTATCAAGTATTGGGCATATCCCGAGTCCTAACTTTTTGAGCCAATATAGGCCAACTTATGGTTCGAGTCACAACATTATTGTCTTCTACGGATTATTATTATTATTTTAAATCTAGTTTCTAGCGGCACCATTTTTATAGTTTTTTGACATGCATAGCTTTAGATTATTCAGGCCCTGTTTTTGAGTGGGAAACTCAATGAGGTTTTGTTATGTTCTGAATCGATTCTTAGTCTGCAAGCGGTATCTTACAAATTGATTTGATTGTTATGGGTGAAGATTAATTATAGAAAGTTCTAAGTAACTCCTTTATATCTCCATGGTTTTAACTTTTACGAATGAATTTCTAAAATATTTGTCTACTGAAATGTTAATAACTGGTTCATTAGCTTTACCCTCTACTCCACTCAGCTTATTATTTTTAGAGGGTAATAATACTTGTTTATCTATTCATTACCTTTTTTCACACACTAATTCACATGTGAGCTGGTTCTGCATGACAGATTTAACTATCAAGACTAACATAGTTGACAGGTACATTATGATTCAGTGATATCGTTAATTATCTTGCAACCCTTATGTCAATGTACTGCAAAGGAATTCTATGAAATCTTTCAAGGCATTGTGATTAGTGACAATGCAATAGATTTCATCACCAATAATGTGGAGTGTTGATGAGGCCAGGCTTCCACTCTGACCCCCAAAAGGAAAGGCAGAGGTAAATGATGAAAACTTGACTTAAATGTTGAGGAAGGAATCCTTGCTCATGTTCTTTTTTACACTATAAAGATAACTTGTTCATGTTCTGTTGAAGATTCTTATCTTCATAAACTATTAGAAGAAAGCTGAAAGTTTAACAGAAAGACAAAGAAAAGAATTTTATATATGGTATTAAATAAGCTGGCACTCCAGGTTAAGAGAGAATTGAATTCTGGGCTGCTTTACGATTCTTAAAAGAGGAGGGTCATTAATCTGGCACTACAGTTGTAAGATGTGCAGCCTTGGGGGGGGGGGGGTGGCGGGATAGAGAGAAAAACGAAAATTTGGACTAAAAAAACTGCATAAGCTATTGCTGTTTGGACCTGCTTTCTTTTGACTGGAGTAGTTGCTTTTGTTTAAGAAGATGAAGGACAAAACTGGAAGGAAAACATGGGACTATGGAACCCCGGGTCTCTTCTAAGATCAGTTGAAACGACACTGAAAACCATTGGCAAATATTCGATTCACTAAGCAGGAGGGTGAGGTTGGAGACTTGGAATCATCCTTTACGTACAAACTGAATGTAGATATCTTGTAAATTTATTGATTCCTTACCTATAGACAAGGTATAGATTGGTTTGAGAAATTCCATTTCCACCTGTAAATTATATCATATAATATGGTCTTCATTGTTGTAATTGGGTGCTAAACAAACTTCTTTCAAAATCTGTAAACTTTTAGTACAATATTGTAGCCAAGTTGTTAAGCCAAATATTGACAATATTGTAGTTAGCATGCCAAACATCTTAGTAAGTATAGTAGTAGTGATACCAAAATGCACATCTTTCATTTAATTTGGTTTTATTTATTTATTTATTTTGGTCCGTTCTCAATGAAAGCAGGAAATCAAGTTTAAGAAACAAAAAGAATTGACAATCAAGAAAAAGGCAGAGGTAGATGATGGAAAATCAAGTTGAAGATTGAGATAGGAATCTTACACCATCCTTTTTTTTCCCCTCTATAAAGGTGACTTGGTTATGTTGTGTTGAAAATATGCTATAAGGTAACTTGTTATCGTGAAATCCCCTACCCAGTGCTTGAAAAGCAGAGTTAAAGAACATACGATTGGAATCATCATTTACGTACAAACTGAATATAGATTTCTTGTAAAGTCATTGATTCCTTACCTACGGACAAGATATACGGTCTTTAAATTAGCCACTTCTGCTTTATAAAAATGTGTAGAAAAACAGATGCAGGTATTAATCTGGCTTTGCAACTGCACTTGAAATATAAGAGCCTCTCCCCCATTTCTTGTTCTTCTTACTCTTCTATTGAGAAGCAAAGCTCTCATAGATTAGATGGCTGACCCTGTTATCTCTCTTGTTGTTGAGAGAACTGGTGATCTGCTGATTCAAAAAATTGTTTTCCTGAAAGGTGTTCGAGGCCAAGTTGAGAGACTTCAAAATGATCTGGTCCGGATGCAGTGTTTCCTGAAAGATGCTGATCAGAGGCAAGATGAAGATGCGAGGATCCGCAACTGGGTTTCTGAAATCAGAGCTGCTGCCTACGATGCGGAGGATATCATTGAGATCTTTGCCAACAAAATTGAAAGTATAAGAGATAAGGGATTTGTGACTAGATTGGCATATTGTCCCTGGCGGATTGTGAGCCTTAACAAGATCGGTAGAGAGATTGGGTCCTTACAGACAAGGCTCGATAACATAGCCGCTAGCCGCGAAAAGTTTGGTATCAAAAATCTTGGAGAGGGAACGAGTACACATGGAGAAGAGCTTCAACGGCTCCGGCGGTCCTCTCCTCTCAGCGAGGACAAGGATATTGTGGGCTTCGAGGAGATGACAAAATCCCTGGTGACAGAACTCTTGAAAGAGGACAGAAACCGCCGCGTGGTTTCAATCATTGGCATGGGAGGTGCTGGTAAGACAACTCTAGCCAAAAAAGTTTATAACCATGTTGACCTCATGACTAGATTCAACTGCCGTGCTTGGGTATGCGTCTCTTCAAGCTACAATCACAAAGAGACGCTGAGGACAATCATAAAGCAATTACATCCGATGACTAATGAGCTACTTGACATGTTGGAAAAGATGCAGGAGCAGGACTTGGAACAAAGGCTCTATCAAGATCTACAAGATAAACGTTATCTTGTGGTACTTGATGATGTATGGGAGGAAGAAGCGTGGGATTGTCTAGTCAGGAATGCCTTTCCTGATAGTAGCACATCAAGTAAATTGCTACTTACAAGTCGCAATCGGGATGTTGCCATACACGCAGATGCTCTTAGCATCCCGCATGAGCTGAAAACATTGGGGAAGGAGGATAGCTGGCAGTTGTTTCTCAGAAAGGCCTTAGCCCACGGGGATAATGCTGGGTGTCCTCCAGATTTGGAAGAAGTAGGCAGAGAGATTGTAAGGAGATGTGATGGTCTGCCACTGGCCATCACAGTTGTAGGTGGGCTGCTACTGGGCAAGAAAGAGTTGAAGAGTGAATGGGAGAAAGTTCTCAACAGCTTCAACAGAAACCTCTCAAGGAGCCAGAGTGGAGTATCGGCAATTCTGGAATTAAGTTATGCAGATCTTCCTCCCAATCTGAAATTTTGCTTTTTGTATTTGGGTTTGTTTCCCGAAGCCTCCGTGATTTCTGTGCCCAAGTTGATCCATATGTGGGTTGCAGAGGGAATAATGCAGAACAGAGATGCAGAAAATTTGGAGGAAACTGCAGCATATGATGACGTGGAACGACTTTGTGGCAGGAATATGGTCCAGGTGGTGGAAACGACTGTTGATGCGAGGATTAAAAGGTGCAGAGTCCATGATTTACTGCGAGAGCTTGCAATCAGGAAGGCAGAGGATGAAAATTTTTTTCAGATCCATGACACCAGTGATGGTAAAATATCAGCCAAATCCAGGTACCTTGCTGTTCATAGTCTCCCTTTGGATAAAAACTATTTTGGGACTTCGATCCCTCCTCTCCGGTCTCTGCTTTTTTTTAATGTCCACGATTACAGGGAAGACATTAGTCTTAGTTTCAAAAGTTTCAGAAAGCTTAGGATGCTAGACCTCGAGAATGTTAGGATGGGTAATTTGCCAAAAGAAATTGGTGAAGTCAGGCTTCTAAGATACCTCGGTTTAAGAGGCACATCCATTCGAGGGCTCCCTCATTCCTTCGGTTGCTTGCGATACCTACAAACTCTTGACATACGGAACTTAGAGCCAGTGACAGTTTCTGATTTCATTTGGAAGCTTGAAAGTTTACGGCATCTATATGCGTATGATATTGAATGTGATGTGCCTCTTAAGATTGAAGGATTGAGGAATCTCCAAACTCTGTCCCGCATACGCTTTGATGACATTATGCACAATAACATGATAACTCTGACAAGTCTTCAGAAACTGGGGATTTGGGTGGATGACAGGTCAGAAATAGACAAACTCTGCATGCATTTATCTGAGGTTGGAAGTCTGAAGACGTTACATCTTTATTGTAATACAGAAAGCGAGTGGCCATCTCTAGATGGACTGTCTAAGCTCCATCATGTAACAGAGCTCAAGCTATCCGGGAGCGCTTTGACAATGCTGCCTCCTGATTTCCCTCCAAATCTCTCTCGCTTGTCTTTGAAACACACAGATCTCACGGATGACCCAATGCCAGTACTAGAGAAGTTGGGACAGCTGTCATTCCTCAAAATGAAAGATGCATACAAGGGACCGCAGCTAGTCATTTCTAGGCATGGGTTTCACCAATTGAAATTCCTTGAGCTCAACAGCCTATCTGGTTTGGAGGAAATACAGGGGGAGGAAGGTGCATTGCTACAGCTCCGGTGCCTGAGAATCAGGAAGTGCCGCGAATTACGGAAATTGCCGGAATTGCCGCCTACATGTACTCTTGATGTAATTCATGAGTGGGATCCTTCGGTGGGTCTGCTACTGCTTCCACTGGTTGTTCCACTGGTTCCACTACTCTTGTGCCATATCATGTAGTGATTAATAAAATTATTTCAGGTTTTTATCAAAATATATAAATAAAAAGAATGTTTCCGTTAATTGTTTTCCCCAATTCACAAGCTTTTTAAGTCCTTTGTTGAAAATGTCGAAATCAATAAAAATATCTAGAGGTATTTGGTTGATTCTAATTTTTCCCGTGCTGTCCAAACTGAAAAAGAGAATAAGGAAATAAAAGGCCCAATTCACAAGCTTTTTAAGTCCTTTGTTGAAAATGTCGAAATCAATAAAAATATCTAGAGGTATTTGGTTGATTCTAATTTTTCCCGTGCTGTCCAAACTGAAAAAGAGAATAAGGAAATAAAAGGCCCTATTCGTGTATTGGAAGAGAAAAAGGAATGAGGTTGGCAAACAAATCAAGGAATTCATCGCATATAAAAAGTGTTGGTCCGTCTGAAAGTGAGGATGGATCGCTTCCTAAATACTACTCGCTATACATATAAGTTGTTAAAAATGAAAAACTAAATTGGTCAATTTTGAGTTTGTAAATGGATAATACCTTACTAAACTTGGTCTTGATTTGGAAAAACAAATTTATTTACTTGCATCACAGATACAATTTCTATCACACATTTTCATTTTTCTAATCACCATTTTATTTTATATATATCACATCATAAAAAATACTATAGTAATTATTTTAAATAATCTCCTGTACACACATGTGTACTTTTAGGATGTTGTTGTGGTATGTTTATTGGTCAAAAAAGAGGTGTGGAAAGATAAGGAAAAAGACGAAACAAGCGATTGTAGCTACAGATGATAGGAAATATGTTTTGGATGGGCACGTGTAAAGGCATTTTATAACCGGAACTTGAACAGCCGTTGGGTGTTGAAGTTGAGTGAAAGGGCCATATGAAAAATTGAGGGGATTTGAAAGCATAAATAGGAAAGGTGGAGTGCCTAAAATAATCAACTGCCAAAGGTAGAGGGTCGCGAGCGAAACAAAGGGCATTGAAAAAGGCGCCAAACTTGACGGAGAAGCTAAACACTGTAAGCATATAAAATGAACAGGAATTACCGCGAAAAGCATATTCGTTATGGAGTTGGCGGCTGAAATAAATGCTTCAAAAATATATATTTGTATATATCCTAGCATGTATGTCTATATATATATTTTTGTGAATGGGATAACTTTGTACAAGCTCGGATGAGTGATATTTTCGAAATATCATCGGACTCCACTGAGTATAATTTCGTTTCTCGTGACAGTAGTTTAATATGCCAATATCAATGATGACAAATTATCTAATAATACTCTCATATTTAAATTTTAAATTTTGCTCATTTACATATAAATTTCCTACTTTTAGAACGTGTATACATACATACATTTTAAAAATATACATTTATACATATATATATATATATATATATATATATATATATATAGATATGTATGTCTTTATATAAATATATTGTGAATGGGATAACTTTGTAGAGCCTCGGATGACGTTATCTAAAATATCATTGGACTCCCCTGAGTATAATTTCATTTTTCGTGATAGTAGTTTAATATGTCAATATCAAAAGTGAAGAATTCTCAAATATTATCCTCATATTTAAATTTTAAATCTTTCTTTCATTCTCTAAATTTCTTTTTTTTTTTTTACAATGTGTATACATACATACATATATTTTCAAAATATATAATTATATATATACATATGTATTTCTATATATATATATATATATATATATGGTGAATTCATATATACAATTAGACTTGCAAATGTCAATGCAAACTGCTGTGCACTTGAACCTAGAATAATGGATAACTATGCAATAATGTATTTCTAAATTATAATAAATAGAATTTTGTTTTTCTTGTAGTTTTTGTGATTGTGATCAAATGAGGTATGACTATGCAAGTGTATTTGTTTTCAAATATCATTTTTACTTTTCAAATTTATAGTTTTATCCGTGATTGTGTAGCATTATGATGTAGTAGTAATACAAAGAAATACCATGTAAATAATGATAGTTTTTTTCAAATAAACAAAGTGGTTTACGAATATTCCTATCTAGCGAGCAAAAGGGTAGTTAGGATATTTAAAAATCTTGCTATACAAACAACAAAAGTAAGGTAGGTTAGTGATATTTTTAGAACTTTAGGGATGTCAGGCGAAATGAAAAGAAACCTCAGGGGAGGTTTACAATATTCACTTACTGAATACACTTATTTATGCCAATTATACTCTTCATACTAATTATATTTTTAAACTAAATTACTATTTACACATATTTTAAAACTTCAAATTTAATTGCTATTAGCGAAATTATATTGATTTTTTTTATACGAGTAGTATTTTTTATCTTGGATACTACTTTAATTAGAATTTAGTTTAAAGACATTCACTGGAGTTTGGACGCATCTAGAGAGCACCGATTGATGTATCTTCATGCGTAAATTGGAATAAATATGCAACTTAATTTTTTAAAAAATAAATTACTACTCTATATCCGAAATTTACTTTTTGGAAAGTAGGTTTAGTTCATACTATTTTGCATAGTATTTAAAAATATATAAGTACAAAAAAATTTTAAATTAGACCTATAATCATGTATTATACGAATATATTATGAGTACTTACTAACTAAGGTACTAAGCTTTAATCATTGATAAAACATCGTATCGTTATTTCAAATAAACTTTCTAATACTAGTTTGAGATAAGTTTTAAAGTAAAATAGTACATGTGTCCAATAAATCAGTAAATCTTGATTATTAATCAAATTTGCCATGTTATCAGTAATAATTACTATTTATGTGTAAAAACTTACTTATTACTTGAATTAAACTTGCTATTACTTGAAGTAAAATAGTACATGCATTTGCTTGCCTTTTGCTTTGGTTAATTACAAAATCAGACATAATTGTAGAAACCTCCTATAGGTTTTTGACATATTCACACGGCCTTCCCTAACATTTGCAAAACTATACAAAACGTCACAGACTCTAAGGTTTATATTACAAATTTAATTCCAACGAAATTTACTAACATTAAAAAAATTACTTTACATGGGGGAGTGAAGTGAAAAAATGGGAGTATAATAATATCCCTTAATTGTTTATTCTATAAATATCCCTTATACATGTATGTGAGTTGAATTTTTTTAATAATAGAAATAATTTTTGGTGTAATGGGCCATTTTTTTGTGCAGTTGGAGCATATTTTGCCTGAATAAAATTATTTCTAAGATTTTGCCTGAATACCTAAATTATATATGCAGTTGGCGGATTTACCTTTAATATAATAATAATAGTAATAGAATTGCCATTATTATTTGCTAGCAAAGCACAACATTATTTCCCTTCCCTTCCCTTCTACATTCTCTGTTCATGCAGAACTTCCCCTCGACATTTCTCTACTTTTCATTGCTCTCTTATTCACCATGTTAATCCAAATGGATATGTGATTTTATTAGTTTCAAATGGGTAGCTGAATAAAATCAATTAATTAGTGGCTATTAAATGGACAGATTTCGACTACCTATTTATAATTAATTCCATTAGACGTAAATTCAAATTCATTAGTAAGCAAATGAATTTGAATTCGTATACACAATAATTATATCAAAGTTTTTACAAAGCCATATCTATCCAGTGTTTCCTATTCTTTAATTTTCATTTATTAAAAGTTTTGGAAACAAAATTGGTTATAGTAAAACAAACTGCCAACTATTTATTAAGCACTAATGTGAAAGTATTTTCAAGTACCTTTGTCTGCTTGACATTTAAACTAATTTTTTATCATAATTTTTTATTATTACCACACCTATTCGGTGTGTCATAACCAGTGCTCATAATAATTGAAGTTTTTGCACCAGAATACACTATGTCTAACGTTAATTGTTGGAGTTAAATGCAATAAAATCGTGACTAACTATATACTTAATTGTAGTTTACCCCTTAAACTATAGTAATACACTTTTTTCTCCCTTAAATTATTGGCAAAAAAATTTTGGGGTTGCAGAAAGGCATCCTCAATGTTCCGTAATTTTGGCCAATTAGGGACAATTGACGGGAAATGAAGAATTGATCGTTAAAACCAATAGTTTTACCTAACAAAAAATGGGTAAAACCGAATGAAGCTATTTTTAACGAAACAATTGCAACGGACGAAAAGCTCCATTCTTCTCCTTCTTCCCTCTGCCTTTCTGCAACCCCAAAAATTTTTTGCCAATCTCTAGAGTTTTAACGACTGTTATACAACTTTCAAAACAAACAAATTTATTCTAAATTTTTATTTGGGATAATTTCATAAACCAAATCGCGGCCACTTTCTATAAAGTATCACTTTCCCATAAAAGACCAACTCTTTATGGCTTTCCTCCATTATAAGAACACAGTACCCATTTTTTCATAAATAAATTTATTTATCGGATAAAATAAAAATAAATCCATTTTTCAATAAAAAACCATCTCTTTATGACTTTCCTCCATTATAAGAACAGAGTGCCAATTTGTCCATAAACAAATTTATTTATCGGATAAAATAAAAATAAACCCGTTTTTCAATAAAACACCAGTTCTTTATGACTTTCCTCCATTATAAGAACAGAGTACCTATTTCCCATAAACAAATTTATTTATCGAATAAAATAAAAATAAACCCGTTCTCCAATAAAACATCAGTTCTTTATGGCTTTCCTCTATTATAAGAACAGAGTACCATTTATGGGTAAAATCGTTGGTTTTAACGATCAATTTTTCATTTCCCGTCAATTGTCCTTAATTTGCCAAAATTACGGAGCTTTGAGGATGCAATGTGTTTGGGGTGAAACTTTGAGGATGAAATTGGCCAACCATCCAAACTTTGAGGATGAAAAGTGCATTTTTTCCTATAAGATATTTAATCAAATGTTATTTCTTGTCTTAATTTTAGTTATGACTATGCTACTTATTTATTAAATAGACATATCTTTATAATTAAAGTTAATAATTGATATTTTAGGATGCCATATATTTAAATAGATGAAAATTATTTTGAACATAATAT